ATCAGATATTGTCCAAGATTAACCTTCAGGGTGGATCTAGCTCGCTCACACCGAGGACCTATCCACGTCATCATTTACCCAGAATGCTTTGTTAAAATATGTTTGAAAATTTACAAAACTAAACAGCCTACAGTATTTTTACAGTCTTTATTTTACAGTTAAACTATATGTTTATCAAATAAAGTCTAATGTTACGACTAATCGGGAATCCCTTTAAGGTTTTGTTGCATTTCAGTTGAGCATGCTCGCATCATGTTTGTTGGAATCGTTATTTATTTTATTTTATTTTATTCTGGTACAGCTGGACTCCACTTACAACAAAAAGGTCGTAGGAGTGGAGGCCGCAGCTTTGAAGGTTCGTCAGAGAGGCTACAGGAGGTAATCAGAGGAAAATATGTCTTCTCCTCCTCGTCCTCTTTCAGACCTCCATTAGACCAGCCTGCTTCTGTCTGGGAAAATTGATTTTTTCCCTCCTCCTCCTCCACCTCCTCCTCCTTTCCTCWTTTGTTTCTCCTCCTCCCTTTCTCTTCTCAGGTTCCATTTGAGTCTCGTTTCTCTGCTGCAGTTCTGCAACAGAGCAGAGAGAAGACAGAACCGTGGAGCACCGGTCCAAGCACTGAGGCCTCCTTTTTTTTTTTGAGTCTCCTGCTTTAATCAGCTCCACCCTCTGCTGTTCATTTCTCACATCTTCCAGTTGCTCCTCAACCAATCTTCACACTTCCCTTCTCCTTCCCTCTTGGAGTCGAGTCTTGGATCGATGCATCATTGATTTTCCTATCAATGAACATTAGTTTGGATCAGACCTCTGTTTGCTACGTCCTGCCCTAAAAGCTACACGCAGAAACTCAAATCTGCACTGATAGAGCTACCAGGGAAAGAAAAAAAAAAAAAAAGAAATAAGGCACAGGAGCCAGTCAATGAGGGGCATGAGAGAAAAGGTGGGAAATYAAATCAGACAGAGAGGAGTTAGCACTCAGAGTAAAGGAAACATTGGTCAACTGCCTGTTTTGGTCGATTCGCAGCAGAATAATTTAACCCGACTAACAAGCAGTTGTAGCTGCTGATAATGGCTGCTAATCACGACAGAGAATGGATGTGCGCGCTTTATGCACCTTTGGGCGTCTTTCTCCGGCTCTCTCACTCACGTCTCTGTCTCCTCTCTCACGCCATAATGGGGCTCCGAGTTTAGGTGGAGATTGACACTTTTCTTTTCCACCGCGCTCCCTTTGTGTCCGGCGCCTGCATTCAGGCCCACACGAAGAGCATTTCTGCACACATCAGCTACACTCTGCGGCACCAAAACAATGGCAGCCGGGATTATACCGTCTTCAATTAAATGTGCATTTAGGAGGATGAAAAATGGAGGAACAAAACAGTAAATAGTTTTTATTCTGAACGTGCTTTGTGCTGGAGTTTTACCCTGCAGGTTATAAACACAGGTCCTCTCTGTGATTATGTTGTACATTTAATAATTACATTTCATGTAGGTTTTTTTTTTTGCATGAAAGCTGATCTGCAGATGAGACATCCCTCAGGGTCGTCCTTTGCCCTGCCTGATTGAAAAGTGTTTTAATTTTGGCAGCACGGGTCATCCCTGACTTGTGCATAAAATACATTTTGCTGTTTCGCGTAAAACTTTCATATATTTTTGTTAATTTAACGCTGATATATACAGTGGTTTGCAAAAGTATTCATACCCCTTGAACTTTTCCATATTTTGTCACATTACAACCACAAACATAAATAT